GCAGTTGCTGGGGTGAACGCGAGTTGTTCCGGTTAGAGGAAGAACACAAGGAGTAAAATGGCTACAGCTAGTGCTAGCTAGCTGTTTTAGATCGAAAAATGTTGCGCTATCGATCAGTTTGATATTTATGCCATCTATGCAGCGTTCAGGCAGAGAGAAAAAAAAACATAAACTGATTATTTAAAGGATCTGGCCAGAAAAAAAGCACTTGTGTATGTTGTTGAAGTGATTAAGGGGGTCGTTTTTCAAAAGCCTGTGTGTTTGTGTAGTGGTTCGTGTATCATCTGGTCAGCTGTCCGTCAGTTAAACGTCAGGTGAGTCTTTACCTCGATCCATTCGCTTATTTTCCTCATCCTTGGTATTCTAAAAAAAATATTTTTGCTACATCAACCTATCCAACTATTGTTACACTTCATTTGTGAAATCTACGATGGATAAAAGTGTACGAACTTAATCGACTAAAATCGTGATGAAGTCTCAGCTTCCTGCCCTGTCCTCTCATCGTTGACCTGAATAGTTTATTTGATTGCTGGAATGATTAATACGCTCTCTTATAAACTTTGTTTATCTTCGAATACGTGAAGCCATTAAATGTAATTAGTCTACCCATGGCTAAATGAAGCTCATTTAAAATCAGCAAATGCTATCCAGTGATCTAAAAGACTTTGACTATTATGAAGGCAAACGAGTTTTACAGATACATTGTAGGTAGATCTGAAAGGGGAAGGCAGACATTTCCACAGTAAAGAAAATGGGTCGAGTGGAACCTTACCAGTAATGAACATCTGGCATTATACAATCATGACTACTGGTTTCCTTTGTACACCTAAATTAGCAGATACCTTGTGTAGAAAAATGTACCTGTCAGACCCCCAAATCATTCATTATGATAGTCAAAGTAATTTGAAGGTAGAATGATATATAACATGTTATTTTTAAGGTACAGCGCTGTCAAGGCATTCATTTGAATATTTATATTTGAATGCTTTCCTTCCTCTCTGTTTGGCCCAGTGAAGATTGTGGGAAACTGCAGCCATGGCAGCTCCTGTGAACATCCAGGCCCCCAGTAAGACCTGGGAGCTCAGTCTGTATGAGCTGCACAGGAGCCCTCAGGTAAATCTGCGTGCATGCCTGTCCTTTCCCAAACACAAACATTTGTGTGTGCGCGCCTCAGTTGGATCAGAATAAGATTTGAGAAGTAACTTCTGGATTACAGTGGGAGTAATTTAACGGTTGCATGTTACTTATCGTGGACGTTTTGTGTGTGTGCGTGTGTGTGTGTGTGTTCAGGAGGCCATTGTGGACGGGACGGAGGTGGCGGTGTCTCCTCGCTCTCTGCACAGTGAACTGATGTGCCCCATCTGTCTGGACATGCTGAAAAACACCATGACCACTAAAGAGTGTCTGCACCGCTTCTGCTCGGACTGCATCGTCACTGCGCTGCGTTCTGGGTGAGCAAAGCGCGGCATTTCTTCGAGTATGTGTAAGAATCACAAAGACGGACGCTTGCTGTCTGTAAGGCGAGTCTGCTTGGGATTGGTTGTGGTCCTCAGACCGGCTGTCAATAACTTATGGTCCCTTCAGGAACAAGGAGTGTCCGACCTGCAGGAAGAAACTGGTCTCCCGACGCTCCTTACGCAGAGATTCGAACTTCGACGCCTTGATCTCAAAGATTTACCCGAGTCGTGACGAGTACGAGGCCCATCAGCGCAGCGTCCTGGAGCGGCTCAACAGGCTGCACAACAAAGAGGCGCTGAGCTCCAGTATCGAGGAGGGGCTCCGCCAGCAGGCTCGCTACAGGTCTGAGAGGTGGGGGGGCTCCTGGGAGTTTGTCACAGAGTTAATCGCTATTAAATGTCACTTCATGAATAGTTTGGGGTCTTGTAGCTTAGTCAACACTCATTCCAGGCAGATTTTTTCACCCTTGTTATTATTTTTGTTATCATTACCTCCTCTGGCTCCTAATGTCAATCCAGTCCTGAGTGAATGTAAATTTGTCCTCATTCCAGTTCACCTAAGTACATAAAGACTTCTATAGTTGTTCTTTGAATCAAATCCAGATGTCCAACCAGATGGAATTTTAATATGATTATAGTTGCAGGCTCACACTTTGTTCTGAACTGGAAGAACAGAACAGCTTGAGACTAAACTTTTCAGCAGACACACAGTGAACAGATAAAGACATTTCCTCTAAACTAAGGCTGCGGTCCACTTGTGTTTGCCTCCTCCGTGCAGGAACCACCGGGTGAAGAAGCCCACTCAGGAGAGCGACAACACCACCTTCAGCGGCGGGGAGGATAACGGCGACTCGCGCTCGCACCTGTCCCATGACTCGGCCCCGTCAAACACCCCCCACCCCCGCGGCCAGACCCCCCCAGAGGCCGGGCCGAGCCGCAAGCGGCGGCGCGCCTCCGACGACGGGTCCGGGCCCGAGGCGGACAGCGGGAGCCCCACCCCCCCTCTGAGACGCCATAAAGAGGGGCCGGGCTCAGAGATCGAGCTGGTGTTCAGGCCACACCCGCAGCTGGTCCAGGCCCAGGACTACAACCAGACCAGGTGACGCCACAGATTCCATTCCGCCGCGTTTCAAAGCATTTTCGGCTCGGGTTTGTCTGAGGGTCCTCAGGTTCTCACATAGATTCCTTTCACGTCACCAGAAGTTGCAAAATTCCCTTTCTTTCTCTCTGCTGCCCCCTACTGACTAAAAAAAATGAACAAATCGGACTGATACAGCTTGAAAATGACTTTAAGAAATAAAAATGACACTTTGGAGTCAGCAGTATCCTCAACACTAATTTTTCTGTAGATTTGTGAAGACGACGGCCAACGCCACCGTGGACCACCTGTCGAAATACCTCGCCCTGCGCATCGCCCTCGAAGACCGACGGCCCGACGGGGAAGAGGACGACAGAGGGAGAGAGGAGGCAGGAAAAGAGGAGAGGGGAGCAGAGGGAGGAGGGGATGCTGGCGGAACGTCTAGAGGCGGAGACGGGACGAGTCTGAGCAACATCAGCGAGAAGCAGTACACCATTTACATCACGACGAGGGGAGGACAGTTCTCTGTGAGTACTCAGACCTTTACGGACCGTATAAGGCACACATCATTTTATTCATTCAGTTGGTTGATGTTTGTCTTTTAAATCGGTTGTCCTTCTTTCCTTCACCCACATCCCGGCCCTCAGACACTCAATGGCTCTTTGACTCTGGAGCTGGTCAACGAGAAATACTGGAAGGTCAGGAAGCCTTTAGAGCTGTACTACGCCCCCACAAAGGAGCAGCAGCAACCACAGGCCCCCCCCCAGCAGCCTCCCCAGCAGAAGTCCCCCTCCTCTCAGAAGGAGGGATGAGGAGCAGCAGGGGGCTGTTTTTCTCCTCATGTTTATAATCCCAAACAGGAATTATCAGCATTTTATTGTCCTTTTTGTAATAAAATAGCATTAAGATGGAATAATCTAAACTGCATTTATAGACTGATTGGATTTTTTCCTTTTTTTGGTGGAACAGATTAAGTTTGACCTCAGTTTATCTACAATTAAAACAAACAGAACAGAGTAATCGAAGAGAACCCAACAAACCACAGACCCACCTATTGCGAGCGGGGGGGTGGACATTCCTAACCCTGTGCGGAAAAATGAAGCCTGCATTTACAAACCGATGTCCAAACCTGGCTTCCTGTCTGCTCTGCGCTCCTCTGTTTATTCAACAACCTCAATGAAGTGTAAACTGTTTAAGTTGCAGCTCTACCAGAAAAATAATGCGTTACAAAACAGTGTACAAACAATTCAAATGTTTGTTTTTCAAGATTTGTGACAGCCAGCATTCCTCCTATGAAACATTGGACTCCCTTGAACTGTTTTTTTCAAAAATTGTTGGGATTTTTTGTTCAAACACTTAACTTTTTTCCATAATGACTTATTTATTTGGTGTAAATATATTAATTGTGACTTAATTTAGCTTTCCTATTTCATACTCTTGGCATAAAGAACTGTGGATAAAGAACTGACTGCAGGTGAGCAGAAATGAATAAAAAATAAAAACGCTGGTGGCATTCATGTGACTTAAAACCCCTTCTTGCAATATCCTTGAAAAACAGATCAAAATGAGACTCATCTGTCATTTTTCGACATGAAGACTCACTTTTCACAGGGATTTTCTGACGTTTGCATAAGCAGCATCTTTTCCTGAGTTATAGGAACTGTTCCCTTTTCTCCAACAAGGTTACACCAAAGCGATTCTCTTAAAAACGTGTGGTTTTAAAGACACTAAAAATAATTTATGTCATTAGTCCCCCCCGCGCCCTGCCTTAACTCCTTCCACACAAGTGGTTTGTGAAAAGAGACCTAAATAAGGCAGAAGAACTCAATTTACGCTGCTGTCCTAAAGGACGGATGACACCAAGACCAGCAGATGTGTGAACTGTGGTGGTTTATTGAAACAAAGGAAAGCAGGAGTTTACTTCTTCTTGGACACACCGACAGTGCGACCACGGCGGCCGGTGGTCTTTGTGTGCTGACCACGCACACGCAGACTGGAGGGAAAAAGGAACAAACGTTAAACATCTCATATTATTAAAGATTAAATACTTTAAAAACTACTGAAACCTTTGAAAATGAAACAAAGTTTCATAAACTAACCTCATCTGGCTGTTCACACACCAGAACTGAAACTTAACTAAACATATTCTTCTGAAATTTGACTAAAATGGGTTCATTTTCATATCAGATCAAAGATAAACTAATCTTCCCATTCAAGTGCGCACTCACACTTGTATACACTTCAGAAAACCTCAGTTTTTTGTGCAAATATGAAGCTTCCAACAGCAAAACCTGACTTTTCCAGTCATCAGGCTGTCTGTGGACAGATCATTCAACACATTTCAAGTTTTTCCAGGACAGGCTCTCTCTGTGCCACATTTCCTCCGTTTACCCTCAAACGTTATCTCAACTCCAAACTTCCCCAGAAGCACGCCAACAGCTCGGCCACAGAAAGAGCCGATAGTGCTCGATATGTGGGGGCAGAACAGATCAGAGTTTTGGTAAACTGGAGGATGTTTTGGAACAGAGCCGACCGTCATTTTCACTAAACAAACCGAAAACCTGATGGGATCTTACCCCCAGAAGTGCCTGAGACCACGGTGGGCCCTGATCTTCTTCAGCCTCTCCAGATCTTCTCTCAGCTTGTTGTCCAGACCGTTGGCAAGAACCTGAATGAGACAAGGTGAAAGTTCACAGTTTGCCATGTCAGAGCGACAAAGTGAGCAAACAGAGCGCAACCCGACGTGCACGTCACATGCAGACACACACCTGGCTGTATTTGCCGTCCTTAACGTCTTTCTGCCTGTTGAGGAACCAGTCTGGGATTTTGTACTGCCGAGGATTCTGCATGATGGTCACTACCCGCTCAACCTGATAAGCAAAAGCAGTTCTTTGTGACATGGAAAAAATAAATGCTTTAAAGGGAAAATGTGGGATTATGATCTGATCTAAGTGGGCAGAAAGTCTGTCAGGAAAACATACTAAAAATATCAGAAAAACTTTGTGGCCAGTGTTAACGAAAAGGTCAGTTCTTGTCTTGCTGTATGAAAATGGATTTAGTAGTTATTAAAGAGTTGTGTGCATTTTCCCCCAGCAGTTCCAGTTTTGCTCAGTTTACCATTTCATTTTATTGTAACAACTTTTAATATTTTCAACATTTCCAACCATCAAATTAGTGAAAGACCATTATAGCCAAGCTCTTCTTACCTCTTCCTCTGACAGCTCTCCAGCCCTCTTGTTGAGGTCAATGTCGGCCTTTCTGAGGACGACATGGGCGTAACGTCTGCCAACACCCTTAAGACCAAAAAGTAAGTTAATATTGTACAAAGAAGGCATCTGCAGAAAGAACCAACATGTGCATTTATGAGATATTTTCCTTAGCCTGCTCCATTCCCAACAAATTGTAGCTTCAGAAAGAAATATCTTGTACAAAACCCCAAAAACTTAAGGTTTAAGGTCTGCAGAATTTGGCTTGCAGGATGTAAGTTTATGGGAGGCTCTTGGTCAAAATGCTGCTGTACACAACTAACAGACTTGATCCAAGACTCTGATCCTCTCAATATCGCTTTAAACAAACCAGGAACAACATTTAAAGACGATATGCTTACCTTGATGGCAGTGATGGCGAAGGCTATCTTCCTCCGACCATCAATGTTCGTGTTGAGAACACGAAGGATGTGCTGGAACTTCTCAGGAATCACCAGAGACTGAAAATATGAAACAAACCCATGGCTAAGAAAGAGTCCCTATACAATAATGTACATCAATATCCATTAACCATTTTATAAGCCACCCTAAAAACAGAACTTAGGGTTCTATTATCAATGGCACATCGCATCCAGTGCATTGAATAAGTACTCTGTTGGAAAGTTAGCACAGAGAAACCGCCACTAGCAGTTAAAATAAGGGGTGGTAGTAACTCGACGACAAAAACATACAACTCCACGTTGTCAGTGTCAAACGACAATGAACGTAATCAGCTCCTTGCAATCAAACTTCCAGACATTTTATCACCCGACTGAGTAACACTAAACACCGGGATGTGTAAGCTAAGCTAGCATTTCCAAACTGCCGCGTTTTTCCACTTGCGATTCTTTCACATGTATGAAACGCCACTATAAAAACATCTGAACGGTTAACCTTATCCTTCGTCATTGATAGGAAATACGAGAAAATCAGTAGAAAAGAGTCCGGAGTCTTCGTGCTAGTTAGCTTTATCTGTCTACACAGCTTGGGACAGCTACATTCTGATTATAATTCCTAAAATATAAACAATTCTGCCAAATTCTGCTTATACACAAATAATATCATTTATCATACATCTAAATACTACATACAACCTATGCTAAAGCTGGATGACTTCAGATTTTAAAACTACTCCAGATGGATAGAGAACACACTCACCATCTTGGAAGCAAGTTCCTTGCAAAGAGGAAGTCGTTACGTTCTCGCGAGAGTTTGGCCTGTGTCGGACGGAACTTGGTCCTTTACTTTACATTTGTCCGACGAGACATTTTAAAACGATAAAAACAAACACTTGACTGATTTGACTTGACAGATCTATTTTAAATTGAAGAATTATTGTGTATACACGTCACAGAATTCCAATATCTGTATCATCACCTTGATAGATTCAAAACAAGGAATCCATCTGTTTTAGCTGTGGGAGGCAGACAAGGTGGAACATTTGTTTGTTTCCTTATTTCCTGACCTCACCGTAGATTCGCCGCAATGGCTGAGGGAGCAGCGAGTACAGTTGGAGCTGGTTCCGATGTCAACACAGCTGGAAATCCAACCGAAATTGCTATGGCATATCTACAAGACGAGGTGATGTTTCATTATGAGAATTTGGTTGTCTTTGTGGGTGGAAGCCAAGTATTTTGTTGTCGGCTCTGTGCTTTTTTCCATCCAGCATCTGTTAGCATGTATCTATGTACAGATTAATCTAGTAATTCATTTTCAGTAGAAAAACAAAAATGATTAGTATCTCAGTGTGGCATCAAACAAAGTGAAAAGTTCATCTGGTAATTTACAGGAGACATCTCCACCTATCAACCAATGTAGTGTCTATGTTTTATTTTCCTTATTGATTATGTCAATGAGACTTCCTTAACTCGTATATGTGTACAGCTTGTAGCAAAGTTCATCCACACTGCAAACCAAACAGTGTTTCAATAGCAACCCAAGTAACTGTTTGAAATTTATTTTCTTCCTGAGGTGTATGTAAGTCTAAGCATTCAGTCGAAAAATATTAACATTCCAGAAATAATGTAGGAGAGGTCTGAAGTTTTCATTCATCTTTATATGTTTTCTCCAGAAGACTGATGGGGACATTGCCAACCTTAACCTTGGGGACCTGGACCTCACCACGGATGAGTTTATCTTAGATGAAGTCGACAGTGAGCCAAGATTTATAACAATTATATTATATTGTATATTATATGCAGTTGTGTATTTAGGAATATTAAAATGCTATCATTTTGATGGGAACAATAGGTTTAATGGAGGGTTTTGTTCTGTTAAAGCTTAAATCCTGCTTGCTAAACACAGATTAGTTTCCAAGCTTCTTCAAACTTTATTTAGCAATGAGCTGTTTTTCTTTCTGTCACTGCAGTTCATATCCAGGCCAATCTCGAAGATGATCTTGTGAAGGAGGCTCTCAAAACGGTAAGAGCCTCTTTATACGATCCTGTATCTAAGGTTTTCCATACAAAGTGAATAATACTTGTAACAAGATTGGACACACCTCTGTATTTTTGCTAAGCTAAAGAAATACATATTCAGTTAAAGTTTCAACAGATATTTACAGCTGGAGCTTTTGAGAATAACCAATGTAGTTTATTTCTTTGTCTGGCTATTAATACTGTTCTCTTCCACAGAAATGGGAATTTATAGTCTCCCATGGTCCTCACAACGGCTAGATTAATCTGGTCCCCACTGAGTATTATTGTCTCAGGGTGACAGTGGTCCGATCTTGTTTTTTAGGGCGTTGATCTCCGTCAGTACTCCAAACAGGTGGAAGCAGAGCTGCAGAGGATCGAACAGGCCTCTATCAAAGATTGTATCCTTCTTGGCACACAGTTTAAATGACTGACATTCTCACAAGCCAGTTTCCTGATTAATCATCTTGGAAAAGTTTACCCACAGCAAATGGCAAAATCTGTAGTTTTCCTTAGTAATCATCTGCCAGACATTAAGGAGAGCCGGAACATTGCTCTTCTGCACAATCAGATCACTGCCTGTGACTCCATACTAGAGGTAAGATTTGACTTGTGATGGGGCCTAACGTTGCCTTTTCATTTGTCCCCATAACTCAATTTTATTTTTATCAAGCGAGTGATCTTGAAAGTGTCCCTACAACAGTGCTTGGACCTTTCAAAACTCTTTTATTTAAATTTTTATTCATTTTCCAAATAAGCTTTGCTTGAATCTTCTTCGGAAATAAGAAATTCTTAAGACCGCAGTTAAATCCAGAAAAGGAGTTTATTTCTGTAACTCTCTCTGTATCTCAGCGTATGGAGGGCATGCTGAGCGGTTTCCAGAGCGATCTGTCCTCCATCAGCAGTGAAATCCAGACCCTGCAGCAGCAGTCCGTCAGCATGAACATCCGGCTGAAGAACAGGCAGGCCGTTCGCAGCCACCTCAGCCAGCTGGTGGACGAGCTGGTGGTCCCCGAAGCCATGATCTCGTAAGTTTAACCAGGTTACAACCGTTCAGCGGAGTGTGACCAGGCAGAAGTTCTCGATAAACGTCTGTGCTGGTAAGCATGAACATTTTGGGCTTGATGTTTTGTTGTCTGACCCAGCACTATTCTAGACAGTCCAGTGACAGAGCAGGAGTTTTTGGAGCAGCTCCATGAACTCAACAACAAGATCAACTTTGCCAAAGAGCTGAGCTTCAGAGAGACGCTGGCCTGCTCTGACATCCAGGACATCGTCGACCGCCTCAAACTGAAGGTAACTCACTGAGGAATGGACAGGAGCTTGTCCTTACCAGCATTTGATTAGTTTGAATAGTGCGAAAACACTCATGAAGTATGACACTTTTTGTGTTATAAGAAGCTGCTCTGTACATTAACTGTTTATGGGGGAAACTGTTTACTTATTATCGATTGATTTTTCATAAAAAAGTCTCAGCTCTTAGCAATCACATCAGGATTTTCTGGTAAAACTCACCGAGCTGCTTATCACATTGAACAATGTAACAATAATGAATACGATAACTCCAGCATCATGAAAGTTATAAGTTTATTTTTCTTTGATTTGCAGATTTGGGTTTGTGTTGCAAATTTAAAATGATATTATGCTCTCCACTTTAGGCAGTTTCAAAGATCCGAGAGTTCATTCTTCAGAAGATCTACTCCTTCAGGAAACCTATGACGAACTACCAGATCCCACAGAACACTTTGCTGAAATACAGGTGTGAACTGCCATGCTTTATTTTTTTATAATCACACTATATTTACAAGTGTAATCCTTCTTTTTCTTGGAACAAAAACAAAGAAACCTTTTTGCTTTCCTTTGTTTTTCTGCAGATTTTTTTATCAGTTCCTTTTGGCTAATGAGAGGACGGTTGCCAAGGAGATCAGAGACGAATATGTGGACACTATGAGCAAGATTTATTACAGTTACTTCAAATCATACAGCGGCAGGCTGCTGAAAGTGCAGGTCAGTGGATCCACATTTAAAACAGGTGTTTTCACCAGGTGTTCAGTCCAAGCCTGTGGATGGTTCTTTTTTTGCTAATTTTATGTTTTAATTTAGAGGATTTCATCACATTTCTTTGTGAACTGATGTTTCTCTGCCTTGCAGTATGAAGAGGTAGCAGACAAAGATGACCTGATGGGGGTGGAAGACACAGCCAAGAAAGATATCCTTTAAAAACACATTTTCTTCTCTACAATTCATATCTGATTTTCTGGCGAAGGATTGTATTCCCAAGAGTAATATGATGTTTAAATGGGACTTGTGAGGCAGACCTGTATGCTGTATCATGTCAAAGGACACTTAGGAATAATCTCTACTTCTTATGTTTATATTAAAGTGAATGGCACACGTTATATATTGCCCTGTAAAAAAAATTGACATTATTTTTAGTACAGATGAGGAGTGAAATAGCTGCAGAAAAAGGTTAGAGATGATTGATTTTAGGGCCGTTAGGATCACAGTTAAATTAGCTGCAGTTTAAACAAGCCAACAGAAAAAAACAAAGTCAAGCTGAATAAAAGAAACACTCTTTGACTCAAAGCTGCAGGTTTCTTCTCCAAGCCGTCTTTAAAGAGCAGAAACACTATCTTCACTCTGGGCCAGAGGGGGGCCATACTGAGCCCAGCTGAGCTGGAGGGGCCCATCCTGGTTCCACACACGGCTCAGAGAGGAGACAGCAGGGTAAGAGCTGACGCATTTCAAAATGACAACAGGCACATACCAAAGTTCTTATCTTACATAATCATGAGCATAAACTTCTTGTAAAACTGTAATGATAAAATATTAAAGCCATGCTGTAGTCTGTTAAGGCAAAGAACAAGTAATGTCAGCCTACTTATTTTCTTTCAAAGTTTGAGAATACAAATATCCTGGTGGGTAATGATCAATATTCTGTATCTTTTAGTACCCGTATGAAACACTGTTCCGCAGTCAGCACTACGCCCTGCTGGACAACGGCTGCAGAGAATTCCTCTTCCTGTCTGACTTCTTTATGGTGACTGGAAACTCTGCTCTCGACCTCTTCAACAGCATTATGGGAAAAACTCTCAGCATGTTCCTGGTATGAATCCTCCATCCTGTAAATGTTGCAGTTTTTAACGTCCCACAAACAATTCCACTCGGTGTGCGTTCGTTTATGTGGCACAAAGTCGCGTCTTGAAAAGTTTAGAAATCAAGTCCTGAGTTAACCTTCATCTGAGCAGACTGGGAGATGTAGCTGACTCCACAGAAACAGATAACAGCCCCAATCTGGCAAAAAATAATGTGCAATCAGCTAGAAATTCTGGAGATGACTTTTTAAAGCAGCTGTTTGGTCTGTTGTGAGTTTTTGTGTGACGCTGTTTCCTGCAGAAGAGTATGTCCACCTACGTGTCGGACTGCTACGACAGCATCGCCGTCTTCCTGTGCATCCACATCGTCCTCAGGTTCAGGGCCATCACAGCAAAGAGGACCATCCCCGCTCTCGACAAGTCAGTTTCTCTCTGACACATTGCTTCTCTTCCATCTCAGCCATTTGCCAATTGCAGCAGAGACCCAGTTTGCCCAATTTGGGACACTTTTTTCATTCATTCACAGTTATCGATATTTTATTCATATCAGCATCAATTATTGTTTGCTTTTGATTTGAAATTCAACCGAAATCATCACGAATCAAAACTAAAGTTTGAGGTGACGGCATCACTGTGTGCTCTCAGGTACTGGGAGGCTGTGTTGGAGCTGCTGTGGCCCAGATTCGAACTAATCCTGGAGATGAACATCCACAGCATCAGAAACACGGACCCTCAGAAACTGGGAGTGCTGGACACCCGCCCACACTACGTACGCGAACACACACACACACATAAACATGGTGAACAGCTTTTTGTCGCACATGCATACTGAGCACGTTTGCTACTTCAGATCACTCGCCGTTACGCTGAGTTCTCCTCAGCCATCGTCAGCATCAACCAGACGTTCCCCAACGAGCGGACCAATGCTCTGCTGGGACAGCTGCAGGTAGCAAGCGCATGCACACACAATGCACAGACTCCTTTTTACTTCTGTAAAAAAAAAAAAACATGGTTACTTTAGCGGACTTAAAATGATAGTGAACTGAAAAAAATGGTTTTGGTTCACTCAATCGTTGATTAGATTTTCTGATTCTCTGAAAGGAGTTTGATCGAGATGCACTGCAGTTACCTGTTTTTGTTCCTCATTTAACTGAATGTGATGTCACATCTGTTTCCAGGTTGAGGTAGAAAACTTTGTGCTGAAGATGGCTGCAGAGTTTCCTTCCAGAAGAGACCAGCTCATCTTCCTCATCAACAACTATGACATGATGCTCAGCGTCCTCATGGTGAGACGCACACATCTGTGTATGTGATTACGGTTAGACAAGGCAAGCGCAGAACTGCACAGGCCCTGAAAGATGCCACAAACTCCTGTGAAATGTTTGTGATTTGTGTTGTTGCTTTGATTTTATGTGCTGCTTATTTTTCACGTTTGTCCAGGAGAGGGCGGCAGATGACAGTAAAGAGGTGGAAGGTTTCCAGCAGCTGCTTCTGGCCAGAACACAGGTTCATAGATCATAATTATCATTTTAAAGTATATTCCATTCAGATTTCACAGGTATTTTTGTGCCGTTTTAGCATACATTAAATAACAGTAATAATTTAGTGTTTTTTGGCCCACTTAACATTTTTCAAAATGTTAGAATTCTTTTGACAACAATATAGGACATCACAGCAGTGACATGTACAGTGTGAATGACCTCAGAAATTATTCAAGTGGAAATGGTGTTTCTACTCTTTTGAAATGGGCAGGGGTCACATGACCCTCTGGCCAATCAGCGCCCGGCAATCTGCCGTCGGCCCAGCTTATGGAACCCCTACTGAATGGGTGCTAAAGTTATAGCTGTTTAGCGGGGCCAACCCCCAGTGGAAATGCAAACATACAGAGTATAGATGTGCCGTGTTGAGTAGGTACAAGTGGAAAATACATATTCATGTGAGTTTTTAGCAGAAAACTCTGGTTACCTCTTTTCAGGAGTTTATCGAGGAGATTCTGTCGCCCCCTTTTGGAGGGATGATCGCTTTTGTGAAGGAGGCCGAGGCACTGATGGAGAAAGGCCAGCTCGATCGACTAAAGAATGAGGAAGGTAATAAAAAATGTTCATCACCTATAATGAGTGATGACAGATAAATAAATGAGTGGTAAAAGCTGCAGGCCCCACCCGACACCTTCCAGTTGTGGCTGTACAGTACATCCCCCTGAGTGTGGGGGCTTGTATGGGAAATTATTTAAAAGCTACCTCCTGGGTGGGATATATAGATCCAAAAAGTTTTGGATCTCCTGAAGTGACTCAGAGATCGAATATCTACTTTTTATGAGGAGTCCAAATCGTATGTATAAATAAATCCTCCTGTATGTTAAATCCTGCTTATTGTTGAAAAAAGTGAGCGGCCAGAAAACTTTCCATTCGGAAATGGCTTTAAGAACTAAAAACATGCCTGAAGCAGTTCAGTTTTTCACTCCAGTCAGAACCAGTGCATTGTCTCCAGATTTTTAGATTTTATGTGTAACTTGCTGAAAATTGCCTCCTATTTTACCAATATTTGATGTCTGATATCACAGAACTTCAGACCTTTAACTTCTGGTTTCCCCACTTTGGACATAAACTGAACATATAGATTTCTTTCATTTCACTGTTAGGTTTTGTTTTACTGAGTTACTGGAGTCTTCTTTCATAAGTTTTCATCCATTCATTCAGTTTCGTTTCTCCTTTGTCTTTCCAGTCCTGTAAAATCACCCCCGTGGCTTCACACATCCTTTTTTAGTCATGTCGCCCTGATTGTCACATTTACCACAACCAAGGCTATTGGTCTCATATGAAAAAGCCTCGAGGAAATGGCTAAAAGTTTCAAATAATGCCTTTTTGTGTACAGCTCGAATCACTCAGCTAGTTCGGGGGTTTTCCAGTACGTGGAAACAGTCTGTTGAGTCGATGAGTCAAGATGTCATGAGGTCTTTCACGAACTTCAAGAATGGAACCAGCATCATACAGGTGAGCCTGCTGGCAGGTGGACACCTAACGCCGGCCTCCTCTAGTGTTGCTTTACCTCAGCTGTGTCACTTCTGCCCCACCAGAGCAGAATGTTCAATGAACCCATTCAGTGCTACTGTTTTTAAGAATCTCTATCATTATTCTAACTAAAACAAATAGATGGGAAAAGAAAAAGCTGCAAAATAACTAAGAATCACCACAGGGATGTAAAATGACTACCAAAGATACAAATGTGGAGAGATCGAGTTTGAAATAAAAGGCATGCTGGTGTGCAAAATGCAGGCAGAGGGACATAGAAAATGTTTGCACAGCCATTGGACACAAAAGGTTTATATGTTTCTGCAGAACCAGCTTCAGTTTTTCAGTTTTTAATGAAAACTCATACTTACTGCATCCTGGTACCTGTTTTTAGGGGAAAAGTAGATCTTTAGGCCAAATCTGAACCACCCACCATTCTAATGTGGAGGAAATGCATGCTAGACAGTCATGTTGTCTCGCTCTTTCCCCTTGTTTAGTTTTTTTAATCTTTTATTCCCCCCACCCCCTGTTCTGCAGGGCGCCCTAACCCAACTGATCCAGTACTATCATGGTTTCCACAAGGTCCTCAACCAGCCAACGTTCCGCAGCCTGGCTGTCCGCTCCGAGCTCATCAACCTACACCACCTCATGGTGGAAGTCAAAAAGCACAAACCCAACTTCTAACGGGGCGCCTCGCTCAAAGCGGTCAGGGAGATTCTAAACTGAAACCCGGGGGTGATTCTTCCCCTCAGCTCGCTCCTCATCATGCTTTCCAAGCCACTCGGCTTTAACGAGACTGGCATCTTTACCCCCGATGCTGAATGAGCCACATAATTGGTTAGTGAGGAGGTGTTTTTCCCCTCACAATCCGAGTGTTCATCATTTTTTACTTTCAGCACTCCTAAAAGAAACCACAACAGGCACTTTGTTATTAGTGACATTTAGATTTTTTCCGATTCACTGATATAATAGCTAAGAGTAGGAGCTACTGTAGAGCAACAAGACTCATCATTCCAAGATAAACTGTTAATGATACTTCAGTCTTTAACTAAATCTGGGGTCTTAATTATAGATATAATCAAATCTAAACAGTAGTGTTTGTTTTTTTGTTGCATAACTTATTAAAAACCCATCACAGGTGCTTCTGCCTATCGGAAACTTTAAAGTGCAGTCCTAAAACCACTGAACTGGAAGGACTCGTCTTTTGTCTATGTTGTGTGTTTAAACTATGATTTTTGTTGTTGTTGAACAGCTGCTTAGGAATTTGTTAGCTAAAATTCTGAATTGAGCTTTTTTATTTGGGGGGGGATGTGTGGTGTCTCTTTGGAAACAACAAGTTCATAGTTTTGCTGTTTTCTTTCAGCCAGATCAAACGCAGATGTACTCATGTGATTTATAACTGCTCTATTGAGATGTTACACAATCAACTCAGCAGAGGTGAATTTACAGACCATTACAGGTGATTTTCTTCCTCACTAAATCAAACCAACAATAAAGGACACTGTCTTCACTTCAGCCTTGCTTCCTCTCTGTTCTGAGGTCTAAACTCTGCAAATCTGTTTCCTGATAAGTATTCATAATAAAAATGCTGTTCACCTTAGTTTTTACGGAACTGGGGGGTTTGTGAGGATCATCCGTATTTAGTGCTTAAATGAAAATCAGGGTCAGCAGGAGCGTGTTTTATTCTTTTCTAAACAGCCGAGGCTTTTGGCACAGAGATAACGGATGATATGAGACATATGTGGAATTTTGTGTTTGAATCAGGATTTGTTGACTTAAGAAAATGGATGGCCCTGCCTAAGATGACCTCCCTCGCTGTGACAAAAGTCAAAGAAGGAGTATTTCTTTACGTTGTGTGCCTTTGCTCTTTTGTCCTACTGTTCTGGAGTTCACTGTGTCGATTTTAAGGACGAACAATGAAAATACAACACAGTTGTTTGCTTTTATTTTTATTTTTGGATTTTTCTTGCATATCCTGGATAACTGAATAATAAATAGCAACATAAGCTCAAATTTTCAAAGCATACATTTGTTATAAAGGATAATAGTGATCATTTTTAGAAATGCAACAAGCATTCAAAACATTTTTTTCATTAAATTTCGTTTAACCATGAGAGGTAATCTTTGTCACAACAGCACGGTGTGTCTACAGACAATGTGAAATTTGACACTCTGAGTCTGTGTGAAACTTCTTTGTCTGTGTTTTGGTTTTAGATATGAGGATAAATTTCCCTCAGATCTAAAACTAAAAGCCAGATATTGGATGGAGCTTCTGAGGACCTTCACACTGACAAAAAGTCAAATTTCAGGGTGCTTCTAAACACAGCTTGCCATTTCCCATTTGATTGGATGTTCAGACTGTTATATTTGATGTTAACCATTTTGTAAATACATCATTGACAATTACATCTAATGTCAAGCAAGACTGATTATATATTTTTCATGAGAAGTGCCCACAACCATTCAAACTAACTACCAGCTGATGGATAACCAAGCAGGTACACTCGTGTTGACTGAAAAAGAACAAGAAGTCAGCCATTTATATGTCAAGATGCTACTACTGGACAAGAAAAGCTTTTCTAATGCTTAATATATCAATGAGAAGCCATCACCAAGAACAACTTTTGGTTTGCTAATCTGTGAAAACACCATTGGCTTTTTAGAGAAAAAGCTGAAGCACATCTGCCCTAAAATTCACTTCGAAACCACCGATAGAGAATTTGCCGCTGCCAACTTATCGTATAAGATCGAAGTTCACCGCAAACATGTTTAATTCAGTACAATGAAGAAGTGACAAAAACATGGCCGTTGTCGAAAATCTTTTCATTACTATTACGTCATACGTTTCGCGGAGCAGATATTAAAACAAGGCTTTTCTTTATTTCTAGGCTCTCGAGTATTCAAGCGTGTTCAGTCTGCAGCAAAAAAAAATGCTAGTCAGCAGTTTCCCATCAATATCAGTCATGTGCTGCAGCTTTTTAACAAAGCATGGATTCTAAAATGAATTAAAGACCTAAGACTATGTCACCGTGGGGTGTTTTCCACAACAGGCAATTCAAATGGTGTTTAAGTGATCTACAAAAGGATTTGTCAGGATAAAGACCCACACACAATAAATGGATGTTTTCATATAAATCCTCGAGTTGCTGGTATTAGTGATCTGGGTTAACATCTGTAGTCTGTTTTTATTTTTTACGGAGGAAACTGCTTCAGAGAAGATGAAGAATTTGGAAATTTGAAACAAGAAAAGACAAGATAAGTAGAGCTGAGTAGCTGCTTTTGGCAGCGGCATCTGAAAAGACATCAACGTGCGGACAAAAAGTTAGAAACAATGATTCTCTTCACCTGAATCTTCTTGAGCTTTGATAACACAGAACCCTTCAAAAGTGATAAACTGAAAACATCAGATTTAGCATTGGAATCTTATAATATAAAAACTACTGAGAGGCTCCCGTCTGCTTTTGTCTTCAAGATGATGGTTAATATCAAATCAAACTGTCTGTAAAGGGGATAAATACCTCCTCCACAATAGCGTAGTTCTATAAATGACTCTCACCTGTTAGTTCATCTATCCGCTTTTGGTGGACTTCAAAAGAGGAGGATTTTTCTGTGGAGATGATTAATTACATGCAATTATGAGGCAAGTCACAGAAAAAGACTTGTGTAAACAAATTATACATGAAAATATACATGACAAAATGTGCAAATATCTGATTTGAAGACATTTTTCTTAATCAGATGCTCCTCTTTGACTGTAAAGGGATTTTTGCTTCGTTTAAAGTTTTTTTTTTGCTTGCTCCAACCGCTTGTCTTTCTGACAAGTGCAACTTCTACACTCAGTGTGTAGTGAGTCTTCGATCTGTACCATTCCTGACAGTGAACTGTGACTTACATATTTTGATGTTAAAGTCTGATCTGCTGGTTTTAATGATATCATGTGTAATGTGAGCATTTGTGGAATCATATTCCACAACATGCTTGTCTTAAAAGGAAATATTATGCTTTATTTCGATATTCAAATTTTGAATGTATTCATACTGTACAAGGGGGCCCGAAATTAAACGACTTTGAATAAATCCCATTCTTATTTTATTTGTTTTCAGTTGTTAATAATTAATGGTTGTTCTGTAATTGTTAACGACAAATATAAAAGTTGCATTCAGGCTAGCCTCTCACCTCTCATGTAGAGCTGCACGGTGCTCACAGCGAGGCCGTGTTCGTCTAAGACCTTGTATGTTCCCTCATCTGAGCCCTGCAGCTGCTTTATCTTTAACTTTTCCTGACGTGGGTGTTTCTCCAGACGCTGGCTGTTTTTATCCCCCCTCATCCACAGGTCTGACCACTCTGAGCTGTTCCTGTGGAGCATAAAAAGAAGGAGTTGAAACTTCTGAGAAGCAGACTCTGTGAAAGGGATCAAACTCACTGGACCATAATGAGCAAAGTGTACAGTTGCAGCCTCACTTCTGAAAGTGGAATGAACCTAAGTGTTCAAAAATAGAAGACCTTCACCTCTTAATCAGCCCACTAACACAAGCAGACATTTTGCAACTCCCATCTTTCACATTGTTTTACAAAACAAGATTGATGTCTTTTCTCACCAGGCTAGTGATCGTGTACTTTTGTCCACAAAAGAAAAAACAGAAGATAGAAAAAAACAGGACGCTCCCCATAGAAGTGTCAGAGTGCATTTAAAGTATTTTCCTACTCAAAACAATACAGAAAAACAGGAAATTTGTTTGCGGATCAACAGTCGCACTTTCGAGGTCGAAGCCCACAAAATGTAACAAAATCACCAACTTCCCCTTAGACCCTGACACGATAACAGCTTTTTCATTTACTTGCGGCTACCTCTGCGTTCTGCACACCAACAACACAACTGTCACATCCGTGCGCGGTATTTTCAATACTTAACGCCATGTAAATCAGAGTTATGAGCTGTCTTTAACTCTCTGTGACTCAGGGCAACATCTGAACCCATGGGCGTCACCATGGAAACTTTAAGCCCCGGCTCGGGGATATTTGGCTATCAACAGCCTCTCTGAGTTCTGCTCTATCAACATTATTAGATCCAGCTTCAACTCTTTGGATGAATGCATTTATTGATGCCTCTTTTTCTTCCAACTGAGCAAGAACGATTCCCTGACTGGCCACTTCTGAGGAAAGTATAGATGAACAACGAAACCACCTGCTGACCCCTCATATCTAAAACCAGACAAGGAGGGAGGCACTGGAGGATTTGGTTTGCACAAGCTTTGATTATTACAATTGCATCACCGTGTGCGCTGCTCAAACAAAAGAAAACAAACACCTCCCTGCCTCCCACTTCTCAAGTAATTACAGCGCAAGTCCCAGCAGACATGTAGGTTTAACTCTAAAACCAGACAAAGTTCTGCCGTGTTTCAGTTTAGTTTTTTTTTTAAGTCCACACCCTGTTTCTATTCAGTCTATCTTTTAGCAAACAGAGTTACAACTTCAGCAAGAAAAGGGTAAAAGTGTTTGGAAGCAGTTTGTGTAGGAAGAAGTTGATTTTTCCAGCACTGTGTGGCATTATTTGCTGCTCACCTGCCCTGGAAGACCACTCTAAAGGAGCTTGGGCTATGGAGCTCCAATTCCAACTCTTCCCCATGATGACGGGAATACTGGGACTTGTGGTCTGAAAGGGAAGTCAAAAGCATGTGTTCCAATATGAAAATATTAAGGAAAAACATCAAAATCAAGAGCCTTCGCTAAAAAAGATCACGGTAGTGAAAAAATAAACTAAAATTATATTTGACATTATAATGGACTGAAATGAATGTGAGCATTCAAAGACGAAGTGGTTAATGACAGAAGAAATAACACAAAGATACTGTGACTCACCGGTCACAAAAAGCTTGACACCATGAATAAAGAGCCGTTCTTTTCTGGACATCACCCCCTCCACCACCACAAAGCTCTCGTATTTTCCCGTGTCTTCAATCTGGACATCATTGATGATCAGAGAACAGTCTCCAGACTCCAGTTTCTCCTGAGGCACCTCCAGCCGGCCCATGAACCTCCCTGCCTGCCACCTCTCCTCTCCCCTCTGTTCCAGTATGGTTTTCGGGGGAGCCACCCACTGGATGTGGCAGGCAGAAGAAGCCACCTCTCCCAGGTTCGACTTCCAGCTGCAGGGAAGGACGACCTGGTTCCCAACTTTGGACATGATGGACTGAGAGGGGGCGGCGGAGGACAGAGGAGAGGGTTCTGAAAGAAGGAAGCATTCAGAGGAAATGTTTTTTCCTTTACAGCAGGTAACACCCATCTTCTTACATTTAGGTCTATATCTTTACCAGATGCTTTTCGTCATAGCAACTTACAAGAAAACAGAACTGTTTCTTAACTTTATAAATCATATTAACTTTAAAGGCAATTAAAGTTAAAAGTTTGATCTCTTTCTGTTGTGTTTTTCCTTTTCAAAATCATTTACCTTTTTTCATTTTTCAAGTTGTTTGTTTTCATTATCTTATTTTTTCTAACAACTGTTTTTTATTCGTATAAACAGGCAGGGAAATAAAGATGGGTTCCATGGAAACATGGAAACAGCAAACAAATTTAAAATAAGAAGAAAAACAAAAGCCAGTCAACTCCCTGTCCTGAATGAAAGATTTTCCTGTCATGTACACGCAATACACCTTATTTAATTTTATTTTCAAAAGGAGTATTTACTGTAGTTTCAAACTACTTAATGTAGCATTTCAGTTGTATTTGAATGTTTTACATATAATTAACAGTAGCACTGTTTTCCTAGAGACTTGGAAAAAAAAACCTAAGTCCAGCAGCAAGTCACAAGCAGATGCTCACCAACTAGATTTCCAGTCAGGAAACACTTTAGTAGTATGAAAAACCTGAAATACATAAGAGAAGAACACTTTATTAGAGTACAAGAGATTGCAAAATATATGACACAACGACCCTGATCCACCTATGAGGACATTTGGCCAAGGACACAAGAATAAAAAGGCAGCCCAAACTATGTTTCCAAATGTCTTCTTACGTTTTAGTGAATTTTAAAGTTACTAGTCATCCATAAAAACTTGGGATTCTTTCTTTTATTTCAGCCAAATCCTCATGTATAATCAGGTCTTTTTTCAATCCAACCAGATTTCTGGAAGCTATTTAAAAATTCTGAACTGTAAAACATTCATGTCTTATTAAATAGTAACTCAGATCCGTTTTTAAATGTTTTACCATTGTTAATTTGTGATCATTTCAATTGACAGCCAATTAGGACAAGTGAAACTGACTGCTTCTGATAGGTTTAGATTTCAGGAGTGTTTTCCACGAAAACGAAACCAGCGGTTGCCTGCGTGTCCCTGCAGACCTGCTGCACAAACACGGGCTGCCAGCTAAACTCCGCTAAATGTGTCTCACTCCTTTTTATTTTATTAAAAATAAAACAAAATAAAAAAAAGGGGTATTTAATATTATCTGTTGTTGCCACGTGAAAGACACCGGAACCAAACAGACCTGGAGATTTAAAACTAAAATGATATGTTAATTTGTTGATTTTTGGAAGTAAAGAGTCTTGTCTTACCAAAATCGCATTTTAGTTCGTTTCATGGCGTTAACTTCGTGGAAACTCAGTTCAATCGTCTTCTCTGTCCTCCGCCGTGGTGAAGGATGTCTTTGTTTACAATCAGAATGCAGACGCAACTTTAAGAGGAGTCCTGTAAGTTTCGATTTCCGGTATGCATTTCAAAATAAAACTGCTAACGTTAATGCGCCAATATTTTTAAACTTCCAGCTCGTTTCAATGCTGTAAAACATTTTTTCACTCGTTTGCTTCAGTGTTTTACAATAACGATCACCATAAACATGTTTACACTGAATATTAAGGCTCCTCAATTAATTTAATGTTATTCGTCTTATAATGATTCATCATCAATTGTACAGACCAAATAAAACACCTATACGGAATTACATCAGTCTTATTTTTTGTTTTTAATTGCCAAGGTTCTACATTAGTGTCACTTGTAATTTTGTTTTTTGATTAAAAAGATTGAAGCACAGTAGACGAAGAATTCAAACGAGATGATAGAAGAACTTCGTTTTATTTTTAAAAAACCCCGGTGTTCCGCGTGGTTAAATATGTTTTTATGACCCATCTGTGCGGAATCGAAACCTATCCTTTGCGGTTAGGTGGATTCACATGAAGCCAAATCAGCAGAGCGGGTGAGAGAGTCGTAAATCTGCTGAGTGAAGCCCATTATCAGTGGAAAATATTCAGCCTTCCTTTTTCTGACATGTTGGTGGTCTGCTGTTCTCTGAAAAACACAAGTCCCCCCTCACCTCCTCCCTCTGAAATAAGTTGCGTTATGAGCGCGGCCGTGCGCACTGCAGCCAGTCCGCGCAAACTGTCAGGTTATGGCAGCTGTCCCCTGGATCCTGTCGTTCCTTTGTAAGTTACTCACTTTTCATTCTTTGGCTAACGCAAATTGCTGGCAGGGCTTCAAACACTCGCTCCGGTTTTAAAGGGTGCTTTGCGCATTTCTTTTTTTTTTAATCTCACCAATATCTTGTGGTTGTGGGGAGCGCATCAAACTGAGGAGGAGCAGGTGGGACCACAAGATGAATCCACCAGATATAAAGTTTAAAACTGAAACGTAAGGCTCCGGCTGAGTGCATCTGTATGCAGCTTCACCTGAACACTTATCAGTCTGAATTCTATCTGAATTCTCTCTATGCTAAGTACACTTTTTTTCTTCTAAAGCTTCCTGCAAAGTATGAGCACGTTCACAGAAAACTTGTAATAACTTTATCTTTATTGACCACCTCCTTTTGTATTACAAAGATAATACATTTTTCCACCAGAGACTCAAAGTCTGATCAAAATGACAAAGCCTGGCTCTGTGTGCATTGATCTGGGGTCACTTAAGTCTCTCCCAGTTATTGTGAAGCAGAGCTGAAACAAAAGGGTGTGTTCAGTCCCAGGTGTATTCAAATCTGCTGCAACACATTGTGGTATAAAAGGTCATCGCAGCAGATTAGACTTAGTGACCCAAATAAGACATTATTTGTTGCCCTGCATCACTGGTCATCTTTGAGAGGATTAACAGTTCCTGCTGGTAATATATTTTCTCATTTGCATAACTAATTATAGACACCACTATAGACAAGTCACCGACATCTGCAGAAAGTCTGCGACTGGATGGTCTGGGATTTTTTTAATTTATTTTCAGTATGTGCTTACAGCTAACAGATTTGTCATTGTGTCATCTCATCTTTTTGATTAACATTACCACAATTTTGACGTATATCTGACTAGATTCACTGCTGTCTGGGGTTTCCTGTCTGATGTTCTGCTCCTGATGAGCATGATTTTGACATGTCCCCACTCCTTAGGTGCTGCGGGATGGCAGCTTTCATCCCCGTCACCTGTTTTCCACCTAGCTAAGGTGGTCCCGGTGGGTCAAAATGTCACCCTGCACTGTAACCTAACACCCAGCATAGAGATCACCTGGTACCATCTGCACACAGACCTGCTACTGCCTCTGATCACAGTTAGGTCTAGTGAACTAAAAGGAGGAGACGCGGCCTCCTTTCACACTGAAAAGAAGAATCGTGTCAGCTGGACACTGGACCGAGAGAGCCGTAGGGTCAGTCTGGAGATTGTGGCATTGGAGGAGGACGATTCTGGGATGTATTTCTGCGCTGAGCAGGATGGATCAAGGGTGCAATTTAGCAGAGGAATTCACCTGAGAGTGAATGGTAAGGGCATATTTATTGTCTGTCTATATATAAATATATAAACAAGAAATGTCATAAATGCCACTCAGATTTACAGTTTTTATTTATAATGTTTGTTTTTAGAAATACATTTTTTCTTTATGCAAATCCCTATTTGCATTGTTTATGTGGACCAGCTGAAAATGAAAATTGAGACTATTTTTGAAGTTGTTTCATTATAAGGGGAAGTGGATTTTCACATCTACAGATTTTCATAAGACATTAAGAATTTGGTTAAATATCCAAAGACTATTCAATTTTAATGACTTTTTTCTTTCATTTTTTGTCCTCAGGAGTTGGCGGACAGTTCACAGACGACAGAAAGGGGCAGCCATGTTGGAATCTGGGCATCTGTGTTGTTCCAGCTTTACTGGCCTTCTGCTTTGCCATCGTGATTGGATTCTATCAGTGCTCAGGTAGGGGGCTTTTTTTGTCTCTGTCCTGACACTAGTTTTCTTCCGTCTAATATATCTGTTCATTTGGATAAGCTCAAACAGTTTTTCTTCATAACACCACTTTTAGCTAAAGGAAAACTTTATACATAGATACATTTGGCTATATTTTAGATTAAGGTTCACAATTTTTTACTGTAAGTGAGCATTGTGAACCTGTGGTGAGGGTCCTTTAAGAAAAGGAGCATTTTTATTCACCAGTTTCCTGGAGTTTCCTCTTTCTACATTCTTTCATTGCCATCTTTTGGCATGTACAGGAATTGCAATGCTGGTCTCAACTTAAAACACAGTGATGAGTTCAACTTAAGAGTGACATATCTTTAAAGAAAATTTGCTTTTTGAATAAGAGATTTTACACATAATACTTCTAAGCATATGGAGTCACATATGACCCCATTTAATTTTTGGGACAATTACGAACAATAAAAGATAATAAGATGTTATAGAGTCAAACACTAGAGTAATTTAACACTGCTAAGATCTATGGAGCCCATTTTATTGCATTTCCCTGTGGTTACAGATCTTTGAACATACAAGAAAAATGGTTAAATCACATTCAAAACAAAGAAGAACAGAAAAATGCTCCGAAAAAATGTCAGGAAAATGTCATCATACCTCAAAGAAACCTTTTTACTCCAAAGACGCAATGAAAAACAATCAATTCATGTAACTTTCTTTTCAAATCTGTTTGATATATATGTTTCAATTCTTAGTAATTAATTCAGCCATATGTCTAATAAGGACTATACATCTCTGCATAATGAAAGATCTCTCTTAAGATTTGGATGATAAATCAGAGAATATCACAAGATGGCAGCGCGTCAGACTTCTTCATGTAATTTAAAGCTCTTCAGCTTTCTCTTGCCACTCTCACATCTGGCTTAATTGCATCCATCCATAACACAGGACACCGCGCTTGCCAGGCAAAATCACACAAAGTCCAGCTAAATGCAGATAAAGGAACAGAATGTCGGCCGAAAGCAAATCAAAGTCTAAGTCTAAGGTCCTAATCTCACAAACTCAGATCTCTTAAAGAGAAGTTAGAAATATTTCTGGGGATGTTTTTGTTGGGAGATGTTTGGCAATCACCCCTGGAATTTGGCTCAGAGCTGCTTCAGCAGCAGCCCGTACGGACGGATGGAGTCCTGCACGATGACCTTTGACTGGATGTCATTGGTGCCGTCGGGGATGTAGACCAACCAGACGTCGTCTCTCTGACACTTCGTCCTCTTCTCTGGGTTTATGCGGTTCTGAAGAAGCACTTTGTACCTCTTCCCATCCACCTTGGATCGGAAAGTCTTGCAGTACTTCTCTGCCATCTTTATGTCCGGTGTGGAGTACACCCCCCTGCCTCTTGTATTCTCGTTGATCAGAGAGGCAGCACCGGCCTCCAGGAATTGGGGCTCATCACCTGGGTTCCCCTGATGGCCGAGGATGACGCCGGAGGAGCCGTCCATGTTGGATCCGTGGTAGGAAACGGGCCAGGCATCGCTTCCCGTCCCAAGCCAGTCGTCCCCGCCGTCATACTTCTTAATGACCCGAATGGCCAGCCGGTTCCACCCACAGGGGCGGTAATATCGCTCGTTGCCACGCATGAACTTCGTTTCGCCATCCTGGAACCCGGCAAATCTCAGTTAAAAGAAGATCTTTTTAAAACCGACATCTACTGCTCTAATCTGCGGGAAGTCCCACCCAGTTTATTAAAACCTGCAGGGTTCAGAGTTCAGCTATTTTTCGCAATTTTTCTGAGGGTGAACCTTTAATTTAAGGCTGAAGCTTTTCTCATATTAATATCAAATTATCTGTCTAATTCACTCTTTCTAGAATCTCTTTTGGGTTGTTTACTTCTTGTTTCATTTAGATACATTTTCTTTAGCTTCTTTTGGTCTTTTTTATTCCTCCTTAAATATGCTCTAATAAGAGAACACAATGACTTCAAACCTAATTATCTCCATGTGGACACGGCTGTGTCTTTAAACGCAGGACATGGGTGCCTCTGTGTCAGTCAGTCATTAAACATGCCTGATCTGTTATGTCAGACCTGTGTCACGTGATCTGAGCTTTAACCAAATAAACAGGACTCCCACTCACCTTTATGTTGGTAAAGTCATAGTTGTACTCCGGGTGGAAAAAGTCCTCCAAATTGATTTTAACTGTGACTTTAGAATTCACGGCAGATTCTCCGGTCAGTGCGGGCGGGGAGTTGTACATGTCTTTGTCGTCCAGTTCCTGCAGGGATAAAGATTCCAGACCGGGGTTTTCGGGCTGGTATTCTAACTGTTTCAGCCCCTCTTGCTTAAAAAACTCCCTGAGGGCCACGATGTTGATAAAGTCCTGTGGCGTGAGGTGGACTGATCCAGTTGTCGACTCGACGCAACAGCCAACAAGAGCAGATAAGGCCTCTAAACACAGCTTAGTGTCTGGCATGGTGCTGAGAGGTAGTAAAAGGCAGGGCAGAATGGAATGATCTTCTCCTCAAAAGAAGAATTATCTTCTCCTCTTTCCTGGGTGCGCTGAGGTGGATTCTTCTTATGGAAAAGGGAGAAAGGAAAAGTCGAGTTTGTGTCTAACCCTGTCCTCGTCTAGTTTCACTCCTTCCTTTCACTTTCACATTAGTCCTGCTCCTTCCTGTAAATCAGACCCTGGTAAAGAAAGGGGAGGGGTGAGCTCTGGCTCAGAATAACTTTCATTCTACACCACGGCTTTAAAAAGATTTGATCTAGTCTCTCCTCAGTTTTCCTAAAGGCTTGATTAAACCATCAATAACATGCAACACAGCCAGCATTAAAACCCACTGCTAGAAACTACTAAACTGATGTTTAAAATCGAGTGTGAGATACTGTAAACCTTAGAACAAACAAGTATTTCAGAAACACATAAGATTAAGTGTTGAGACTATGTTTTACAGTGTGATAAATTATCCATATGATTAGCAAATTAGTAGATAAGAGTATATTTCTATTTCTATTATATTTCCAAGTTTCTTAATGAATAGAAAATATCCAAAACCCCAAATAAAACTTCCCGGGATCACCCCAACTGTAAGGGATGTGCACATACAGCTCTATAGATGGTCCAAAAGCAAAGGAACTGTAGATTTACGAGAAAAAGTTCACCCCCTTTGAACCACTAAGCCTCTGAAAAACAAATAGCAGCAACAGTGCCATCATGTGTTTGGTGATGGTCACGCCTACATTTGTTTGTTCGGTTTATTTGCCAATTTGTCTGCCAAGTCACGACATTTCAGAATTCATTAGGGTTTGTGGAAAAGGCCATAAAACATGGTACATTTAATGTGGATTTCCACATTTTGACCTGAAACCGAGAAATCAGATGCTTAATTGGTCAAATAGTTGCTTATTTCTTTCCTTTTTTGCATATTAGAAGAATGTTTTTAAGAGTTCTCCTTAAGTTATATCTCAACAGCTGCAGAGGAACAGGCTTTGATCACTCCAGGGAGAGAAGAAAATGTGTTCTCTTCTGCCAAGGGCTTCTGAAAATTCCATTTGCTGTTGTCTTAGAGTTGCATGTTAACCACAGAACCAGATAAGGTCACCCTTTGACTCAGACGCTCTCTGTTTGTTAGGCAAACCGGTTCTTAACTGCTGTGATCCGGAGCAACGGGATGCCAGCCTGAAAGTCGCAGAGGTGAGTCAAGATTTTCACTTCCAAAATCCCTGAATCATTTCCACAAAAGAACAAAGGGAAACTGGATCATTCCAAATCTTGTTTTGTGTCTATATTACATTTTTTTGTCATTTTCTTTTATGTATGACTATTGCTGCTCAAGTCTTTGATGTTTTTTTTCAGCATCGCTTTGCAGAAACCTAAACTTGGCACATAATCTGACTTTTGCAGGAGGAGTCTTTGCATTACTCCAGTTTGAGACATCCAGACAAGTCCCGCCCCTTTGGCAGACAAGGTAGTCCTTTGGCGGGGGAGTCAGTCACTTACTCAACAGTCGCCGGTTGCCGGAACCTTATTGGATGAAAAAAAAAAAAGCTATGCGATCGAAACTTAAATATTGGTGGAAAAAGCTTTCTATATTGATATCAACATCTGTATATGATGCTTTCCTTTTAAGTCTATGCTTTTCTTCTTTTTATTGAATGTAGCTACTCCTACCTCTCCATTTGAAGACTTTGAAAATAGATGACTTATAGAATATGAGCTAAAAACATATACAACCTATACCATAAGCATGTATTCACACATGAAGTGAAGACAGTTTGCACAAAGGGTGAGATGCACTTAAATAAAAGGACATAAATGGACTTTTCCCTCACTGCTGTAGGAATTTCCGTAAGGGTCATAATGATGTGATGATTCAGATGATTCTTTCAACCATGTCATGTATTTTCTTTGGGACTCGTCATCTGACCTTTCCAACAAAAACTGCGAAGTTATCTTTCTCTGATGTAAATAAAAGGTACAAAATGTGTTTTCTTTTTCAATCAGACAAAATGATCTGAAAATATTTTCTATACCTTCTTCTTCTTTATCCCATGAAACTAAACTCAAAGATTTTTTTGACTGGCAGATGTTTTCCGATGATACAAAAAAAGAAAATTAATCAGCCACAATTTAAGCTGTTACGCGCCTCATTTTGCTTTCTTCTTTTCTTATTTTAAACCAATCCTTTCTACACAGAAGCTCCTCTGAATAATGTAAATTTTCAACAAGACATTTGCAGAGTACATGATTTCCATGGAAAGAGGAAACATCCGTTTTTTAATAAAGTGGTTTTCAAATTATCTCTGAGTTGTTATTTTTGTAGATTAATTGAAATGGTTAACTTTTGTTCTGTTTTTGTTTTTTTGTCTAAATTATCTGAACAAAGCGGCACAACTCCTTTCGCGCTTGCTAAGCAGGAACCATTTCTCTATCATGTTTGTCTGTAGAGATTTAATATCATGGATTTTCATTGCAGAGAGAAGTGCAGAAAGCATTTCCTGCTCAAAATAAAAATGAACCTTGCAATAGGTCCCAGAAATCCAAAGACTTAAAGTCTTTAACACCTGTGCATTGTGAGGACAGGCCGCTGAGTTTAAACTTGAGAAAGGACTAAACTTAGACACTTGAAATGACAAGCCCAATGACATCAGCCCTATTGAACAAAGACAAACGTGAGAGAGTCAGTAGAACTGAACCAGGTTCAGTAGACTGTGTTTTGGGTGGCAGGTCTGGTCATGACAGAGGAGTAGATGACATGGTGGCTCTGATCCGAAGGAGACCAGTTGGTTCTGTCCCTCCAATTTGGTCGACCCAGAACGGCGTAATGTATTGTCTCCTCCGGCAGGGATGACGTCTCCAACACCTCGTACTCTGTAAACAGGCAAACATACTGAAACCCTCCTCTTCAGGAGAGATCCGATGTTTGCAAAATGCTTCTGGATGTTTTTACCAGTTTGCGGGCTGTGTGTCTTCCACAGCTGCAGCTCTGTGTCGTCATGTTGCTGTGTGTCTGCGTGGAAAAAAAGAAGGCAAAATAGTTTCTATCCATCAGCTAAAATGAACCCCAATAAAAACGGACAACTTTGTCTTCCCACACTACCTCTATATTTGTTCTTCTTTTTCCTCCTGCACTTTATGCTGATCAGCATAATGCAACCAGCCGCCAAGAAGATGATCATCAACCCCAAACCAGTGACAGCAACCAGCAGAACTGAGAATGAGCATAGCAGAGATCAAAAACCATGCCCAAGAAATCTACAGGAGTCATTAATGTGAAGTGTTGTGGAGTACATACCACTTCCAAGTCTTCTCTTTGTTTTGTTCCTTACTTCATCCACATCTGATAAATAGAGTATAAGAAAAACAATATGAATCATGAATATTTAAACTGTGGTCATGCTGAATATTACCCTTTTTCCATTAAGCAAATAGGATAAATTCAATTTGAGTAAGTGATGATTAAGATAAGTGTTCAAATATTTAAAAATGGATCCGAATCAACATCCGTTTGGCTTAAAGATGGAATCGTCAGCACTTTAACAGCAACAGTACAAAAGTATATGCATTGTGGTTAAACACAATGAATCGTACCACAAACGCAAATACGTTTTTTTTTAATACTACGTCTAAATCCTAAAAATCCAATAGATTTTAAGATCAGCAGATATCTTTTAAAATAATATTTTTTCTTCAGCTCGGCTTAAAATGAGGAGGAGGAGGAATCCCACCTGTCGTTGTGTCAGAAGATGGTGGAGTTGTACTGGTGGCTGACAGGATGCTGGTTGGCCGAGGTTGTACTGTTACACAATGCGTTTGTTCATTTAAATTGTCATATATCAGAAAATAGCTAAGACTACATTATCCTTTCAGTTAAGTTTTTTTTTAAGGGAATATCTTTAGTCATTATTAAAACATAGTTGGGTCAGAATCCACATCAGGACAAAAAGCTCTCAAAGACTGCTGCATTAAATAGTTATACGTTTTTTTTGTGATTAATAACACAGTCATTACAAATATACCTAGATGTATTGCTGATCTCAAGTCTGTATTAGTGACAGAGCAGTGAATGACCTGTAAAGATGGTAACTCTGGCCTGCAGCTCTCCATTGCACAGATACTCTCCAGTGTCCTCTGGCTGCAGGTCCTGGATCTGCAGTGCATCATTGTTGTAGCTCAGTCGACTTCCTTCTATCTCAGATTTTTCTGTACCGTTTCTGAAACGAGTGAATATTGCCTGTCGCCTTTCCCCTGCTTTCTGTCGGAACCACCTCTGTTTGGGTTTGGAGGAGCTTCTGCAGGGGAGCAGCAGCGTCCGGCCTGCAGACACCCTGAAATCCTGACCTACCCCAACCCCCCCCCCAAAAAAAAAAAAACGTTGGGCATTTAGATAGATAAACTTCATGAATAGAGTAAACAGGGTATTTTTCATGCTGATGTTGAAAAAAAAACTATATCTGCTATATCATTAGCTTTTATCAAGATGAGACAACCATCATCGAGAGCAGGGGTGTCAAAGTCTGGTCCTCGAGAGTAGCTGTTCTGCAGATTTTAGACATTTTCCTGCTTCTGCACACCTGATTCTGAGTAAATCGGATCTCATGTAGACATTGTTAAGCTTTGCACAGGCCTGTTAATGGCACATCAATGTGAATCAGGTGTGTTGAAACAGGTAAACCTCTGAAACCTGCAGAACAGCGGCCCTTTGAGGACTGGAGTTTGGCACCCCTGATCTGGAGTAACCTTGCACCTAAATAGTAACCAGATCCTCATCGTGCTCTTAGTCATAGTGATCTTGTGATTTGTCCTCCTATGATGCACCACATGCAGCCCCGCCTCCAGCACACCTGTGAGCACCTGCAGGTCGGCCACCGGCCTCTGGTTGCAGCTGTAATTTCCACCGTCAGAATGGTCAAGCTGCAACAGGCAGAAGCTGCCGTCCGTCAGGAGGTGGTAGCGCTGGTGGTCCCGGTTGGTCTGGTAGCTGCCCCGCCGGGTCACGAGGACGTTTTTGTCCTCAAAAGTCCAGATCACGTCTGAGTTGATGGTGCCACAGGGCATGCAGACATGGTGATCCTCTGGGACTGAGAACCGGATCACGTCTGGAGGAGAGCGACCGTCTCTAAATGTGAAGCTCTGACCCAGAAATCCTGAGTTAGAAAGAGTTAATATTTATTTTCTATTAATCATACTTTACATTCAACACCTGACTCTATAAAGCCTGACCCAAGAAATAATATTATAATAATCTTTTGACAAAATGTAAACAATTGAACAAAGATAATTTACATGAGTTGTTTTAATCAAAATTTTTCAGCATTTTCTGCACGTGTTTACTATAAACTAACAAAGTTGTGAATATATGAGGTATATCAGGTATCAAATGATATCTACACTGTTAAAGTTTTAATTATTTCTATTGTACTTTATTATGGATATTAAAATATTTTTGGTTGCAATTAACAAAGAAAATAAACCTTCTCATGCTTGTTTTCATTTTTAGCTCATCTTCCTAAATTCAACTTGAATTTGTTCCCTTTGCCTCTATGTTTACATGACACCAACTTTAGCTTGTCACTCATACACAGCTGGTGGTCTGTTTTTAGCCCTGTTTCCTGTTTTTATCTACCATTCCTCTTTTGTCTCATGGAAACACGCTAAATGTTGCCCAGTTAAACAAAAAAAAAACAGTCAGATAAAAATGTGCGGTCAGTGTTTACATGTCGGTCAGATCATTTAAAATAATTCAAACTTCAAATCTTTTACACGCTTATGCTTTTTCTTGAAAAAAATTGAACTATTTGGATTATGAATGTTTTTCTTTGTGTTGGTAGATTAGTTTTATACTAATATGAATATACAAACAAATATATGTAAATGCAGAGGGTTAACAGTTAATAGTTTTAATTCAACCATGATACCTGTTAACAATCATGTTATATAGAGTATAAGATATGACACAGAATATAAAAAGATAACATCATATTTCTGAATAATTCACAGTCTGTAAAATGTTGCATATTTACAAACAAATCAGAAGTTAATGGAATTGTGAACAAAATTAGAAATACCTGTGGAGTTTTCTATGCAGTGGATCAGGAGCCAAACATGAGAGAAAACCATGAAATTGAGCATCTTTATGAAAAAAGACAAACAAACAAATAACTGATGGAGCCACTGCTGATCTGACACATGAGCCTTGGGTCAGTTACTCATTTTTTCAGACATCCTTTCTGCTTTGCTTCCTCTTCCTTAAATAGTTATCTTCGTGGAGTAAACTGTCAGCGTGAATGCCCATTTTAACCACAGCCCTGTTACTAAAACTGTAACAGTAACAAATAATTAAAGACACAGAGTCTAAAAATAAACTTTGTAGAACTCATGACTTATTCAGAGTTTGGGGGGCACCTCTAAGTCGGTTTTATGGAGACATTGTTTTATCAAAGCGTGGATACATTGTTTGCAAATCTAACAAACTCTCAATTAGAACATTTTTGACACAGTGAGGATCAAGCAGTTTTATCTCTCAAAAATAATGACATCATTCTTCTTCCACTGGAGCGTACACATCGACCATTGACTGCGATGGATCTGTTGATCAAAGAAGCAAAGTTAGAACTTTTGTTTTTGTTCATTTGTAATGTGACACAAAAGTGTAATAGTTACATGAAAGAAATGACTAGACTAATGCCACTCATTACAATGCCATAAGTTGAATTACATAAATGTCATGTGCTTCTTAGTTATGATAATTCTATGATGGATTTGAGATCGTAAATTTTCATTTCATATATGACATTTTAAATGCCTGTCAAAATTAGGTGTGAATAATTCAAGACACCTTTGTTATTTCCAGAATGAAGACCATCCCTGATCACAGAATATTGGCACTCTGTTAAAGGAAAAAACATTTGTTGAATAGATTAATTAGTACTAAATTAGAACTTTGAAGTACAAAGCGAGTACTGATTTTTACCTGTTCCACTCCCAGTCTGTGGCTGATCAGCAATAACGTAGTAAGTGGGCTCAGTTTGGTTTGTTTCACCTATAAAAAAGACAACATTTATCAAGCTAGGGAGATGACAACCTTTTTTTTTAAATCATATTAAGAGAATGGTAGTATATAGTAACAATTTATAGTAAAATAATACATATTCAAATTTAACTCAATATAAAAACAAATATGTTTATATTGTAATGTTTGAAAAGGTTTTGAAGAATTTGGATCTAATTCAGTAAATAGATCAAATATCTATGAAGTGACTACCATGCTGTTTCCACCTGGCAGTATTTTCAGCGATCCAAAGTAAAACTCCAATAATTTGCACTGCCCACAATGATCCCTGAAAATCTATGGCCAGTTTCTCTTTTCTGAACATGCAATTTTTATTTCTTCTTGTAAAGGCTTCCTTCAGTTTAAAGCAACTGCTTCTTTCGGTGAATTGCAAAACGCAACAATGTCATCTCCATCTCCGCCTTCTGGCAACACAGTGAATCCTAGTTTATTCACATCACCTCTTTCCAAAACAACCCTTTTAGATTAACTTTGCACTTGGACTCTGGAAATGTTGCAGCCTTCCCTTGAAAAAGGGGGAAAGGCTTCATCTGACTGAGACTAATGCAACAGTGTTTATGTGCACAGTTAAGTCAGCTCTAGGCATGCATATGTTGTACAAGCTGTGTGACATTATGAAACAATGGCATCTGAATGTAATAAGTTCATATTCACTCGCAAACCTGCATACTTATTTATCATGTGTGACATCAGCTATTTGTCAGCAGACATCTTTTTTTTTGGCAATAGCAGCGATTTTTTCCCCCCAAACTCCTTTAATGCTTCATTCATAACAGACACAGTCTCTTGGATCTCCAGACACCTACATATAATTTTCAAGGAGAAACTAAAGGCCAACTTGTATTTTGTTTTTGTGTGGAAAGGGATAGTTTGCAGCACCATTAATCACAATCTAAGATGTTATCTTTTGTTCCCACTTGGAAAACAACATCCCAACAAATCTGCATCTGAAAAAGTCAATGACATCTATAAAATGCAAATCAAGTGAGTAGCTGAAGTCTCATCAAATTGTTAAGTTTACTGGTTTGCACAGTAAAAACTATTTGCATCACAATTGAACACATTTAAGCCTCTTTCTTATACGTCTGCAGTGACTGATTCCTGACGACATTTGGGCTTGGTTTATTTTTACAACACAGGGGCCGCACGTGCATTAACAACAGCGGCCTTAAAGCTTTCAACATTTATCAAGTTTAGAATATTCTATCTTTATTAATGTTTGCATGAAGTCAATAGCTACTGACACGCCAGTAACAGCTCTGAGGCAGTGCAGAGCAAATCACCCTCATCAGTTAAATAGCTCCAGGAGCTGTTTTCCAGGTACAATTTTTAGCATTTTGCACTCAGAACCAACATAAGCCATAGACCTGACAAAAGGAAATTAAATTTGGAAATCAGCCATGTAATACTCACAGTCTTTAAATATAAACTATTACTGGAATTCAAGCTAAATATCCTTAGTAGTTTTGGTGGTAAAAAGCGTAAATCACTTACCTGGAAAGGTGGCCATGCAATAAATGCTGTTTGACTCATTAGAGCTCCTTTCAAAAGCTGAAAATGTAGCAGAAATTAGAGGAAATCCACCAAATTACAAGCGATTATGTCATGAGTGTCGCAGATATCCCAGGATTCAGTCATTCTGTATCAACCTCAGCGATAGAAAGATGCGGAAATTAACTTTAGATCAGAAGTGGTCAGCATGGAAAATACAGACTTAATTTCTTACCATTTGAAGGCCTTTTCACTTCCAATATCTCATCATAAATATGGACCGGTCTGTTAGATTCTGCAAAAATAACACCATCACAATATAAAAAACTGTTTTGTCTTTGTTCAGTTCAGAAAATCTATATTCACACCACATGGTCAGTATAAGCTGTGTGAATACATAAAGATACAATTATCAGATTAGACTCTACTTACCCAGTCTTTTAAGTCTGAATCTCCAGGTCCAGCAGACGATGATGATGATGATGATGATGAGGATTATTAGGCCTCCGATTCCCACCAGCAAACCAAGAAACAGATGGTTGTCTTTAAAGAAAAAGATGGTATGATAATGGTTGGTAACAAATGTGAAACACTACCAATGTTTAGGTTTTTTGGCATCCTTATTAAAACTCTGATTTACAAATTCATAAACAAATCCATGTTTCCGTTCGTGTTTGCTTGCGAGGTGTATTTGTTGTCGTTGGATTCTGTCCAATGACAAAATCCCTTCCTCGCCAGATTGTTTCAATCCTACCTCATTTTTTCACATTTTATTGTGAACATGCCCAGAGGTTGTTTTTTTTTGTATGTTTAGTCATTTTTAGTCATAGCTGTGGACATACTACTTTACAGAGCATCATAATGGCCTAACTGGACTTAATTTTGAATTATTTTGTCTTCTTATCGGTGCCGTTTTTTTTAAAAAGGAACAGTGTGAATCGTGATGTGTTGATTTTTCCTTCGTCTCTATTATTTTTGGTCTACTTCAAAAGCTGATGTGGATGCAGCTGTTCACCGAGGCTTACAGCTACTCCGCAGAACAACCGCATCCATGTGCTTATTAGAGCAAGTAGATCTGTGACTAAAGCAGATGCTCCAAGCTGAAAATGAAACCAGCCTGTTCCTCTTTAATGGAGAAGGGGGGAGCATGTGGTAATATATTATGTGAGTTCTTTTGAAGCCGTTTTCTCACGGTCCAAAAAACATTGAAATTCTTTTTCATCCAAATGTGAAATTGGTTTCAGTGTCCCTGCGAGAAACATGTAGATTCGTGACTTCATTTCTTTCACCTCTGTCGGGTCCGTCTACTTTGGTCACATTCAGATAAAAAGCTATTTTTCCATTACAGAAATACAGTCCAGTGTCATCAAGGTGGACATTTCCGTTTTTAATTTTGTTGATGGAGGAAACAAAATTGTGTCCTGCTTTTTCTCCGTGGCACGTTGTAGAGTCTGATCCTGTTACATCAACAGGGTACTCTGGAGGGAAGGTGCTTCCCTCTGTAATGTTGTAAATCTTTGTTCCTGTGAAAGATGAAGAACAAAGATACTTATGTCATATCTATTAAGTCTTATATTTAGAAGGAAAGGACTTAATTCATAAATATTTTTTTTAAATATTGGAGATGATCGCTTTTCCAGGAGCAGAAAACATGAGAAAAGAATACATAAAAGAATTTAAAAAAGTCAGATGTTACCTGTTGGAATCACTGTCAGCTCCACAGCTGGTTCATTATCACATAAATATCTTCCAGAATATGAGACATTCAGTTTGAGGATGTACAGTGACTTGTCTGCTAACAAACTGAAATGTTTTTGTGGGTCCTTAATGATTTTTGTTTCACTGTCACCATTACATTTTATTATGTCCTCTTTGGTCCCATTTCTCTCTCTGCTCCAGGTCACTTTGTTTTGCACAGAGCTTCCACAATGCAAAGTGATCGACTCCTTCTCCATGCCTGCTAAATGGATGACACCTGCGAAATAAGCCATTTTTAAATGTATTTTAATCTTTTTTTTATACAGATTTCAGGCTGAGAGGGACACTAAATCTTCAGCACTGAGGACAAATGAGTGGATCAGGATAACTCCATCTTTGTCCCAACATTAAAGTTTTTTTTGTTACTAACTATTAAAATCAGAGTTTTATAAAAACGGAACTGTATGAATCTTAAATGATCAGGAGTGGAAAGAGGATAGGTACCTTTACTAAGAGCATAACGATGTCGTGTTTGATTAGATGTAGCTTTTACAGGAAAACAAGATGGCGCTTCTGTCAGGAAGACCGACTTGACAGCACCTCAAAGGTGTTATTTTTACAAAATAAAGAAAGATTCTCTAAAATTCTACGTCAAACTATTGCTAAAGATGTTTAAGCTGTAAGATATTTAAAGGAGAAAAAGTCTCACCTTCTGTGACTGCATTCAGAAGAAAAGCCAGAAGGAAAGAGAAGGTGTTCGCCCTCATGATGAGTGACACAGAAACGTCTTAACAAGCTTTGACCACAGTTTCTGTCTGATCTGTGAACAGGAACTTGTGTTTGGGGCTCTTTGAATTTTGATACTAGCAACAGCTTGTGGTTGATGATTTCTGATGCTTCCTGTTTATTTGTATTTGCCCAAATAATTCACCAGTCTGTCAAGTTTCCCACTGGTTTACTAATGAGTTCAATCAATGGTGGAAGTTGAAAGCCCAATGTCACATTAACCAACCTTTGTTGTATTTAAAAAGTATAAACAAGTTTCAAATTGATGCAATAAATGATCAAAAAGTTAGAACAGAAGCAGCTTTATCGTGATGTGACATCAGCCTTCAGTTAAAAAGTACTTGGTCATCACTGATATTGATTTTAGCATTTTTTCCGAGGAAAAAAGGAGGTCCTATAAGTGGCCTTTCTGAGTCTTAAAAGTCCCCAAAGTCACAGTTAAGACACTGCAAGATAAAATGACCCCAGAGCTTAGCCTAACAGTCACAATGGAGGTGAGGCAAAATGCTTCTCCTACCTTGGAAAACAAGAATTAACAAGTTCATTAAGAGCCCAGTGAAAAGGTTTTTAAGCTATCACCAATCTCATGAGAGTATCCTGTTCATAGTCAATTCATGCTTTTCCAACTAGTGCTCCTCTTTTTGTTACCAGAGGGATAACTCATGCCTGAAGGTTCCATAACTAAGATGAAACCAAAAGTTCTATTTGTTCTCACAACCACCACCTGCTAACAGTCCAGCAGGTGGTGGTAACTGGCCCTCCAGACTTTATTAACTTATGAGAAGGACCATCATAGTTCACTGGTAACTGACGGAGATCTCGAAGAATTTCAAGTGGTAATGAAAACGTCAGACCATTTTCCATGGATGTTTTTCAGATTCCTGTGAGACTAAACTTTACTGACCAGATGAGGACAGTGACAATAATGATGGTGAGCAAGATAAGGCTACCTGTTCTCACCAGCAGACCAGGATGTGGTTTGTTATCTGCAATAAGGAAGCAGCCAAGTGCCATTGTGGGTTTAAAGAAACAAAAGCAACAGCTTGTTGACTTATATTAGACATCATGCAACCGGCTAAAACATGATTTGTACACATAGTATGTTTCTTCGTTGCTAACAAACCTGTGTTCGCTTGTGTTGTGACAGTGCTCCAACATCTGGTCACAGCAGCAGTGGTGGCAGGAGTTTGAGTCGGTGCAGTTAAAGGTGGTTCTGGGGCTGGGATGGTTGGTTTTAGAGACGTTGCATGTTGTTTTGTTCTTGACGTTGTTGATGATGCCTTGTGGGCTGTTGCCACGGTGCTTGTTGCTGGTGTTTCCAGCTGCACTGTTAGAGACCCAGTGACGGCTGTCAAATTTAGACATGAGCAGACTGAACCATTTGTTCAGTGTTTCGTTTTTATGATTATCAATCTGCTGATCAAGATAACTCACCTCTTTCAGTCGTTTCCCCCTTGGTCACAGTCACGTAAACAGCTGGTTTTCCGTCACAAGAGTACAGTCCAGATTCATCAGGTCGAGCACGTCTTAAAATCAACTCCCTTGTCACCTTAGAGACATGGTTCCTTCCTTCTTCAATTTCACCAACATCCCTGCTCCAGGTTTGAACACTGGATTCTCTATCTGGTATAATTTATGTTGTAGTTTAGATAGCTCATGTAACTTGTCAAAATCATTTGTTTCCAAACTTGAAGAAAGCATGAATATTCATTCACAAAGAAAGCATAAAAAACGTTAACAACTCGACAACACAACAAACCAGAAAGACAAACAATGCTCCTTCCTCTCAAATGAAACCAGGTGTGAAAATATAGCTTTTATTAAAACCATAACAATAAGTTTAAGAAAAAATGTAAAACAAAAATGAACAGAAACATATTTCTTTAACATGAAGAAAAAACAAAGAAGCAGCTTACCAGCAGGGAGCACAGTCAGGTCCACAGCTGCTTCATTACACAAGTATTTCCCAGAGTCAGAGACTTGTACTCTTAAAATGTACAGAGACTTATCTACTAATAAACTGTAACGTTTAAATGGGTCATCAATGTGTTTTATGTCCTTGTCGCCACCAGAAGAAATAATGTTAACTGTTCTTCCTGCACTCTCTCTACTCCATGTCACTCTCCCCCCCACAGCACGAGGACAACGCAGAGTAATGGAATTCTTCTCAAACATTATTTTATGTATCAAATCTGCAACAAAAACACACATTTTCTGAATTAGTATTAAAAATCAAAATGTTTTTTTTTTTTACACAGAAAGCAAGTTAAATCTTTGAATCAATGTATGCAATAGTCTTAGGAGCTGAAAAATAAATTACATATTGTTCCTTTTGATGAAGCAACCAACTTTGTAAACTTTCAAAACTCAAAATGGATGTTTGAGAATCATACCACAGCATACATGACAGATGCTCAGAAAGCAAGGTTTGAAACAAATGAGGCTTTTGATTATGCATATTGTAGAATGATCCAATATTTTACTACTAAGTTAATTATGCATTTTCCAACAAATCCTTATCCAACTCTGTTAACTGTGAATTAATATTTTGCTGCTTTACATCTTGGCAAACTTTAATGCCACCAAACGTCCTGAGACAATGTGCCTGAGACCATGACCTCACACTTCACACAACTCTTTGCACAATACTAACTGAAACAAACATAATCAGAGCACACCTGTATAAGTAAATCGCCATAGCGACTGTCTTACCTGCAAAAACATGAGTAACAGTAAAGAGAAAAAGACAGCAGCAGATCTTCATGTTGATGGTGACCCAAATATCTAAACGAACACTGATATAGGTTTCTGCTTAATCTGAGAACAGGAAATCGACTGTGTGAGATTGACTCACATTTAGGGTGCTTTGTATTCACCAGCTATTGTTTTTATTCAACACTTTTTATCATTCTTACAACTAAGATTACTTACTTAACTTGTCAAGTTTTTCTACTTCAAAATTAGTATTGTTCCATAAAAATAAAGCTCACTTTTTGAACTTTATAGATGTTAGGATATTTTGAATGTCTTTTCTGCATCTTTAATAGAGTGAGAAGTCAAACTTTTGGTTTTGATGATGAATGGTCTTTTTATTTTGAAATCAATTAAGATGTTTAAAGAAAAAAATGTATAATGCTACTTAACCAACATTAACTTAACATATTAATTAATTAATTAAACACTTGATCTGCAATTTCCAACCATCATGATTTTTCAGTGAAGGTTATAGTTTTGAATAGAGATTTTTGTAAAAGATTAGTAAAAGATCCAAGGATCAGTTTGGTTTGTGAATTAAAGACAAGCCCTTGTTGCAAGATAGGCCCTTACTTCTTATGTTGTTGAACCCATTGGTTTAAAAATGGCAGTTTCATGTTGAGTCAAGGGCAAAGGGTTTGATATCAGAGTCATTTAGAAAGTCAGGTCACTCCAACCACTTTGTTGAGCATTAAGAAGTGTGTATAATAATTCCATGACATTATATTATATTATATTATATTATATTATATTATATTATATTATAT